ATTCGAAATCGTCCTAATATTTTTTATACCTAATTTCTATTCTATCGGATTAATTTTTTCCTTCAAAAGTTTTTTAACATCAAGGGATGTAAAGTTTTCCAATCCAGCAACTGCCGAAACAAGCAAATTACAATCATTTGACTGTTTGTTTACATTTTCTCCCCTAGATGGCGATACCACCTCAGCATAAGAAGGTCTCATAACAGAGGTTTTCAAATTTGCCACACAAGCTTTGCGATAATTAGCAGATTGTAATCTTTCAAAATTTTTAATTATAAGAGATTTTAACTCACCCAAAGCCGTCCTAGCATGTTCACGCAGCCCACCGTTCATATTACATTTAGATGCAAGTGCTGAGTTGATAGTATTATCAGGACTGGTGTTCCTCTTTACTTGCTTTGGAAACATTAACTGTCCTGACCCGGAACAGGGAGCTTACTAAAGCTATGTTCAACAAATTGTGAAGTAGACAATACACACAGGAAGGGTATACGAAACCCTTTATTTTTCTATCTTTACAGAGATTTCCGGACTTCGGAATACAGAGACCAACCACTTGTGGTCTGAACGGAAGAATATAAAAATATTAACTAAAACTCTAACTAAACTAACTATAATAATAAATTAATAAACAAGTGCCTAACTCCACGATTGGCCGTTAATTAACAAAAAGCCGTATGTAGTACAGAGAGCTGCTAAAACTACGATATGTTTAAAATTATCAAGAGGATTAAACCTCTGGCCTTGAAGGCAACCAGCAAACGAGTAAAACTACTATGGCAAACGGCTTGCTTCTAATAACTCCTTCCTCTCTCTTGCTTGGCAAAAAGCCACAACTTAAGTACTTGGCGTTAGCAAGACAAATTTGCATAAATAAGTAAAAGCTTTTAATTCTGGCCGGAAGTAGAAAATAAGAAGTGATAGTAAAGATTCAAAATAAAATAAACGTTAGTAAAACTTAGGATCCTTACAGTATCATAATGTTTTTCAAGAGGCGTGTAAAACGCGTCAAGCTCTTTATCCACCATCTTGAATGGACCACTAAGAAGCACTTGTTTACTGTTTTTGTGCTAGGGTTTGGTGATGATTTTGGCCTTGTCCCATTCAGTAATGGAATGTAGATATATTTGACCAAAGATGTGTTATTTTTGTTGATAAGCTGGTTAATGAAGAGTCTGTAGATATTTTTAAAACCAAATCTTTCAAACAAGCAGCAGATACTCGGAGTGATCATCTAGCAGAGAAAAGTTCTGATAAATTTACACTTACCTAATGCTTGCATCAGTAACAGAGACAGTAACTTTTAGAGAAATAACTGTAAAAGCTTGTCCTGGTTTTCTATGTAAGTTCTTTTTCCCTTTATAAAAATTAGGAGGATCTATCATTTTCAGCAATTTGTCATATTCATTTTCATAAAATGATAATATAAAAACAAATTTAAAAAAAAAATTTCTACTAAAGCCCTTTGTTTTGGGAAACATTGCTCCACTTTCATAAAGGACTACACATCAAGTGCACATTCCACAATTGAATCCATGCATGAATTCCAAAAGTAATCAGTACTGATGTTACAGCTTAAAATGTACCAACGGTTGCTGTTCAACCAGAGTCTAATTTTACAAAAATGAACATAAATACATACTACGAATTGCTGAAAACAAAAGATGTATTCTCAATTTTATAGGAAAAGTTACTAACAGGGTTGCCACTCAAACAGGAGAATGAAATTCCCTGACTTTTCCAGGTGTGTTTCAAGAAAATTCCAGTCTATCCGCATAATGTACGTTGGCTGTGCTAAGAGGTAAATTAATTATGGTATTACTTGTATTGTGTAGCAAATTCACTTAATTATTCAATAAATCCCAGAGGACATTTTTTTCTTAATTATTCTTGGTATACTTTGATAATTTTGTTTAGTTTTCCACTTAAGAAACTTAATAAAATTTAGATATATACATTGGATAACAAATGTATGTTTTATTTAATTAATACTCATGATCATCACCAGTTCAACACGAGGCTAATCCGGTCCTTATAAATCACAACGCAATGCTAAATAGTTAGGTTAGATTTTAGGTAAATTTAATTTGCGTGAGGTATGTTCTTAAAAGGTACCTTAACACTTGAAAACACAAATATAATTATAATAGTTTTTGTTTTCTCCACTGAAGATTGAGATTAGAATCTTCCCAATCTGGAATAAAATAAGGCTTTTTTTGCAGACATTCTGCAGCTAAACGAAGGAAAGAAATCTATTTTAATAAATTGAGGTATATTATATTAATTTGGCAGCATACATAAGGAAAAAATATGTGCATTAAATTTCGTGATGGTATGTCATCATACTGCTATAATTAATTTCAGGATTATGCCAGAGAAAATTTCCTGAAATTTGGAAATATTATTTTCTAATAATAAATAAATTTAGAGGGAAGAAGCAACATTAAATTATATGAATAACATAAAAATAATAATTACTTAAAAATTGAATTATAATAATCAACGATATTTTAGCGAATATAGTTATATTACATGGCTAGCCTAGATGACTGATTACTATTTTTTTATTTTACTGCAAAATGGCAAGGTATTTATTAAAAAGAAAAAAAAAAAAGTTTAAAAAGATTTTGCGGTAAAATTCTAGTATACGGTAAGGCTTTGGCACGATTTTGAAAATTGTCGCCAAGACCAAACTGACCCGTTTACTGCGCATCATGATGTCGCCAAATCTTATTATTATTCTAACCAAAGAACATCTATGTAAAGAAGAAAAGTTTCTATACAAGTAAAATGCTATTACGCCGCTAGAATGCGGAGGGAAAATTTGCCAAGGGATTTGGCGACGGAACCTGGCGGCCAGAATTTCCCTCTCCGCGATGTGTACAGGAAATTGAGAAACACGTGTTAAGAAGAAACGCTCTTTGACAAAAAGAAAACTACCAAAATCCGTTTTTAAATTATTGCGAAAAATCCAAGAAGAAACGTTTTATCAAAGGGCGTTTCTTCTTGGATTTTTCGCAATAATTTTAAAAACGGATTTTTGTAGTTTTTTGTTTTCCTGAAAATAACTAATCCATGAATTAATTTACTTGCACCAAAAAATATTTTCTTTTCCTTTAGAGTTTAACCACTTGCGCTAAGACTAAACTTCACGGTTGCGGTGCCATGCGCTACAATATAACAAGCGGTAAAGTGTCTCATTTACGCCGCTCCGCATCTGCGAGTGCAATCCAGAGCTGTAACCCGAGAAATAACAATCTCGTTGTTAGGCGACGTGTGCACCACGTTATTTTCATTTTTGCGATAAATGCTTATCGACGTGGTGTTCACGTCGCTCGAGGTTTGAGACAAAAGCATCTCGACGTGCATGGCACGTCTTTTTAGCGCAAGTGGTTAAAGAAATTTTAAACGATATTCATTTTATGAACTCTTGATAACGTGACCTTCGAACTTCGACACCGGTTTCCAGCTTTGGCGGCAGATATATCACGCATGCACAGCTCTTTCCCTCTATGATGGAACGGAGCCACGTCTGTTGCAGAGAGGTTTTCCTTCTTTACAATACATATTCTTTGATTCTAACCTCCATGGTACCGTATATTAGGATTAAACCCATTTTGTTTTATACGAGAACAGGTACTTTCTCTTTAATTCATGCACTGCACATGCGATTCTCGAGAATACTGGAAACCAAAACTTGCGGGAAAGTTGCTTTGCCTTTCTAAAAGACAATCAAATTGGAGCTGCGAAAATTGGCTCTATGCCAGCTACCCGAATGACACTCACGTGATACCTAATTCGCCAAAAAAGTTATCTCTTCCGACGTCGGCGCAAAAATCGCTTTTTTTGGCGGAATCGTTGTATGAACTTCCCTGACTTTTCCAGATTTTGACAAAAATACTTAAATTCCCTGAATAACTTGGTCAATTTTCGAATTCCCTGACTTTTCCCGGTTCTCCAGGTAGCGTGGCAACCCTGTACTAAGAAAATCATTATACAAACTGCTACAAATATTTCTCTAAAAGTAAAGTTGTTACTGATGCAAGCATCAGATAAGTGGAAATTTATTAGAACTTTTCTCTACTATCTGATCATCCCAGGTATCTGCTGCTTGTTTAAAAGATTTGGTTAGAAACTTGCTACTACCCCCGCTACATCCATCTGGAAACTATTCAGATAAATCAGATGCCACCACAACAATTACTTCAGGTGCATGTACTATTCTGATTCACAACAAAAATACATGTACAGGGCACACAGGGTTAACATCTAGAACACTATCAGTAAGAATCACCAAACACACACAAAAGTAAACTCTTTGTTGAGCAGTTTAACAAAAATAGCACATCTTTGTTCAAATACATCTACATTCCTTTACTGAGCGGGACAAGGGCAATATCATCACCAAACCCTAGCATAAAAATAGACCCAAAATTAGAGAAGTTCTTGAAATCACCACCAAACCATATTGGAACAAAGACCTTCCCTTCAACCTTCCATAATACTGGAGCTTGATTCTGAACACAGCAACCCTACAGAAACCAATTAAGGACAAAAAATTTGATCAAATCATTCATTTCACCTCCAGCTGATATGTCACCCACTAAACTCTTCTTCTTTTGGTTATATTTAAACATGGTTCCACCTAGAGCAGGGATTCTCAACCGGTGGTACGCAAAAAAGCAAAGTGTTTTTAACTATTAAATTCAAAAATTAAAACCCCAACATCCTGATTGAGTTTTTCTCTAACACTTGCAAACTTATGCGATCTGAGCTTTGTTCAAGAATGGTGGTGGTAGTAGTACTTTGTAGTAGTAGTACTAAAGGTTTTCAATTTTTGTTTAGAATGGTATGCGTTAGTCAAAAGGCTGAGAACCGCTAACCTAGAGTGTTTTTTCCTTTTTTTTAAGAACTTTTATTTTTGGAATGTTTTAATGGTGGTAATAAAATTAAAAGTTTTTTCATGAAAGAAAACATTTTTACAAAAATATAGAACTTACACAATAATTTTTTCCTTAGTATACGGCTCCCATTTCTTCATCTAAAAAAAAACATGAAAAATATGACTTTAAATACATACATATTTCCTTTAAAAATACATAAAGATGCACTTATAAAAATGCTTGTAAACAACTGACAGTAACGTTTATTTGACTAAATTTGTAATTTAATATCTCTACAGTTTTAATTCACTTTTAATAACAATATTAATTAGTAATCTCTGATTTCTGCATCCTAGATTGAAACATACATAGAATTGCCATGCTTCTGGCATATTTTCAAATATACAAGGCAGCAGTTAACGAACACCTGTTTAAGTACATGTGAATTATATGCTAAGGCTATTCATGAACATTATCTTCTGGTTGTAAAAACATAATTATCAACCACAGAGATCTTTGTTTTTTTCTCATTTTTTTAAAACCTCCTTTTTTAATAAAATGCTTTTATTTTCTATTACTTATGAATTGAACAATATCTACAAGCTGCAAAATTAACCAAACATTTGCTTTTTGGCAATTAACAAAATTACCAATGAGTTGATGAATTTTTGTGGAAGGTGCAGATAATCAGAAGGTACCTAATAATTTTATTTTCTTACTCAGAATACACTTTTAAAGCAATTAAAACCAGTTACCTTATCAAGAGCAATAAATGTTGTATATCCCAAATTATTGGCTTTGATAAACTCAACACATTGTTGAGCAGTAGTGATTGTATCAGTGACTATATGATCTAAACTACCACAAGCAGTAGAAATGGCAACATCATATTTCTCATCTATTGCTCCTAGGTCACCCTAAAAAATTGTAAAAATAATTAATATACAAATTATTCATAAATAGAAATGAAACATATAGTTAAAAGAAGAAAAGCTTATTTAACCACTTGCGCTACAACTAAACTTCACGGTTGTGGTGCCGTGCGCTACAATATAACAAGCGTTAAAGCGTCTCATTTATGCCGCTCCGCGTCTGCGAGTGCAATTCAGAGCTGTAACTCGAGAAATAAACAATCTCATTGTTAGGTGACATGTGCACCACATTATTTTAATTTTTGCGCGAGGTTTGAGACAAACGTGCGTAGCACGTCTTTTTAGCGCAAGTGGTTAAAATAAAAAATGGAAAAGGGGAGTTAAAAAAAGAAGCAAGGCTTATTCAACAAACAAAAAAAAAAAAAAAAAAAAAAAAAAAAAAAGAATGCCTTGTACGGCCTATTAATTTAATACACATTTTTTACTACACTTCATTTAAACTTATTTCCTCAAATTTCATTAAAGATATATTTTTCACTCAATCAATTCAATTCTCATTCTGCAGCAAGGCAAAAATACAGAGAAACTCAAAATATATTCATAAAAAATTGTAAAATTGCCCTTCAAATTTTGTAAACATATTGATTGCAGATGATAATACAATATGGTAAAACAAATTTTATAAAATTCCATTAATTTTTAAAAAAAAAATTTAAGGTTGACAAGATTTTTGCACATATTTTCATTTGTAAGACAAACTACAAAAGTCAATACTTTAACGTTTGCACTGATATAAAATATTCTTTTAATTGAAATTTGTATGACATTTTTAACATTACTTCTGATTTCTGAGTGAAAAGTCAGAAAACGTTTTCGATTATTTGAGGCATTTATTGAAAGTAAAAAAAAAAAAAAAAAAAAAAAAAATCATAGTTATTCATTCACTTCATTGGAAGTAAAAAATTTTTTATTCATTTTTGAAAAATGATTTTTCAATTGAAAATTTTCACTGAAAATGAGTTATTAAGATTAAGAACATAAAAATTTAAAAAGTTTTAGAGCATAAGCTTTTCTTCAAAACTTATTATATTCTTAATAAGCCAGAGGCAAAAAATAATTTATGACATATTTTAATGGGAACAAGAGATTAATTAAACTTCTTTACAATATTCATGTGCAATTTATATCAAGGATTATAAAAGTGCAGACACTTAAATAACGAAATCAGTCGATTTCCAATGTCAAAAATATATATAGGGCGTGAATTTTTTTTTATTATTCATGATATAAATTTGTAAATGAATTTTGTAAAGAATATTATTTAATCTCTTATTCCTATTAATCTATATAATAAATTACGGTACTCTGTATATATGCATGTATATACGGATATATGTGGTCATGTATGCGCATATATATACATACGAACATATACATGTAAATACACAGACACATGCACATGACGTGCATACATACATTCCTGAATCCCTTCCGATAGCAGAACAATAGCTAAATTACTTTTCTTTTTTTAATTTATTAATCATTTGAGTTATAAATAAAAGTTTATTCTATAAAAATCTCCTTTTTATATTTTTTATTTCTTAAACAACCTCTAAAACAGAAATTCTTATTTCCTCTTCCATTAACTTTCTAAATGGTAACAAATTTCTTATTACTTTAGAACAAGTGTAAAGTCGCCGTTATCGTAAAACATCAAGAAGAGTTCTTGATCATAAAAATTCCCATGCTATTGAGGGTCATTCATTAACAATTGTCATCAGGGTTGGAGGGACGCTTGTCCCCTTAGGCACTTTGGAAAGTGTGAAAAAAATCTGGGCTATCCGTTTTTGACGTTTCTTTTAAGTCTAACAAAAACAAGGGTCAGTTTGTTTTCAAGGAGATATTTAAAATGACAATATTATGGGAGAAACCGTTAAGGAGCTTGCATAAAAGAACGAGAAAATCCGGGTCAAACAGTTAAAGGGATAAGATCTTCCATACGACAGTAAATGGTAATTGAAAATCAGAATTATTCAACTATTAAAGATGCTGCCAGTAAAATTAAATTACCGAATATGTCTTTGATTTTTTGCTGACATTTTCAACCCAAAATGAAGATTGGAACAATTTTAAAATTCAATTTAACGGTATAATTTCTAACAATGCTAATTTATTGGAGGTTGATAAGCTTCATACTTGAAATTATCCGTATGAGATGAAGCAAAACAGACTGAAACATAAGAAGAATCCTTTCAATCATTATCTAAAGCATTAGAAATTTGCTATGAAAATAAATGTTTAATTGTTGACAGACATAGTAACTCCATAATAAACATGGAAGAAATAAATCATGAATATATGGTCGAGCTTTTGATAATGGTTCTCAAAATACTAGAGCTCCTAAGAATTAGAACACTGAAAGGCACACATTTTTGGATCTCATAATTGATAAATTTAATTCATTCTAAATTTGATACAGAAATTCGTAAATTATTCTAAACAATATTGAGCACCCTAAGTGGACCGACTTTTCTTGAAAAAAGATGTCAGGTGTTCAAAAACACAAGTAAAATTAGCAATACAAATTCCAAGCCTTTCACTCCGCATACCAAAGCAAATGGATTTCTAGTTAATTAAAAATGAACTTTATACAAAAATTTTATAAAATTGTAAATTGATGCATAAAATTTATATGTGTGATGAATAAAAATTTAGCAGTGAATAAACATTTTGAGACTCTAAAAAAATTGATCTTTGCATTAATTGTTTTAAAAATAAGACACTAGAAGGGAGAGAAGCTAACACAAATAAGAAAAAGATACATTAAAAATACAAACATTATACTTACCAATCTGCCATAAACACCTGTTAATTTTCCCTTTGCTTTTTGCTCCATAAAAGCTTTCACAAGAGCATTATGATTCTGAGAGGCATTTAAAGAATTTTTTGCTTCGTCCAGCCTCATTCGTTTACTTTTCAACTGGAATTACAAATGCAAAACGCAAAATCAAAATGAAAATTATTATTTTATATGTAAACAAACATACACACATACATTATACACAAGTATCCACACATATGCTCCGTTTGTTCCATAAACTTTAGCACAACTTGAATTTTATGTAAGTTGAATACGTTAATTGCTTAAATATAACCTTGTAAGGAATTGCTATTTTATAAATTAACCATGCAAATTATTACTTGAGTTTGTTTCCCAAGCCATGTTTCTTGAGTGCAAAAAACATGGCTTGGAAAAACAAGAATTATTTACAGAGTCCTTATTTCTAATTGGTAAGTTTCAAATTCAAAGTTACAGTTTTAGTGCAATTACCTGACTGCGAATTTACACAAGTTGCATATTATCTAAGTCGGAGGATTACTTTATATAAATATAGTATGAATTATGCAAGCTTTTGTAAAATTCTACTTAATTCCTTTGATTTGTTAGTTACACATGGTGTTTCTAAATGAATATCATTTAACTCTTTGTAGCATTTATAATGTAAACTTAAAATTATAATTAATACATGAAATGAAAGAGCAACTCAAACAGTTATACAAGCTTACAAGTGTTCAATGTGAGCACCTTTTGACACACAGCACACATCAAGTCGATAGCCCAATTCTTCCCAAACATTAATTAGTGTTTGTGGTGTAATTGTTGCAACAGGTGCCTCAATCCTGTTTCTTAAGTCGGTTAGGTCAGCTGGTAGTGGAGGCACATACACACAATCCTTTATGAACATCCAGAGGTAGAAATCACACCAATTTCTCACTCGCTCAACACTCTCTTCATTAACCCTTGGTCATTCCATACTTTGCAAATGCAGCCGGTAGTTTCAGACTGATGATGCCGTTTACGGATGTTATTATCACTTGAGGGATCACATCTGAACTTAATCTGGAAAGAACGTTGAACTCTTTGAAAACTGCAGAATATAAAAAACTTTCCATTCACTAGCCGCCATTTTTTTTTTTTTACTAGCACTTTTTGGCGCATGCGCATACCAACAAACAGAACTGTTACAGTTGCTCCTTCATTTCATGTATTAATTATGATTTTAAGTTTTATGTAATAAATCCTACAAAGCATTAAAACCCCGATATTCATTTAGAAACACCTGTATAATGCTCACAGTTATAGAGAGGAAATGGAAAATTATTATTATTAAGAGAGAAATTTTATTGCAAGAGATAAAAATAAAAAATTGCACAGCAATGATGCGGTAAATGGTGAAAATTCCCACAATTTTGGCAGCCTATGTGTGATTTAAACTAATAATTTCATGATAAAAATTTATACAAACATTTCAATTGAAGGGAGTATATTGGCCAGAAATGAAGCAAATATGCATTACATTATTCATTTAACACAAAATTACATTTATAAATCAAACAAATTCTGTAAATGTAATCAATGCTATTATTTTGGATTAAAATAATTATTTAGTTAGACAATGTGTGGATACATTAAAGCATACATATACAAATTTTCTGCATTAAGTTGCATGTTTTTAAAATAGGATTAGTGTTTTATTTTTTATTTCTAAAGCATAAAAGAAAATCTACAGATAGAACTATGAATGATCCATGAAAAATTTTTGATGACTATTTCAAGAACAGAACACTGATGCAGGGTTACCACGCAAACAGAAGAATGAAATTCCCTGACTTTCCCAAGCTGTTTAAAAAAAAATTTCAGGCTATTCACGTAGTGCGTGTTGGCTTGCTGAGGGTAAATTAATTACGGTGCCACTTGAAAACACAAACATTTGCCAATTAAATATGACTTTATATATACACACACACACATATATATATGTAATCCCCAAAGGATTACTTCTATAACTATAACAGGAATTGTTAGTTGTTTTCTCTACTGAGGACTGAGATTAGAATCTGCCTAATCAGGATTTAAAAATGTCTTTTCTGCACACATTTTGCAGCTAAAGGAAGAAAGAAATTGATTTAATGACACTTTAAAATAAATTCAAGTATTTTATATATATTTAGCAGCATACATAAGTAAAAATATGCGAACTAAATTTCATGATGGTATGTCATATTACAGCTAGAATGAGTTTCATAAGTATGCCAAAGAAAATTGCCTGAAATTTGAAAGTATTATTAACTAATAATAAATAAATTTAAAACGAAGAAGACACATTAAATGATACAAATAACATTAAAATAAAGTTAATTACTTAAGGATTAAGAACTGAATTACAAAAATTTTGTATTTTGTACAGTATTTTGGGGAATATACATATATTAAACGATTATCCTAGATGATTTATTTTTATTATTTTACTGCAAAATGACAAATAAGAAGAATTTAAGAAAGAAGAAAAGATTTAAAATATTTTGTTTTATATGAGAATGGGGGAATTTTTTTTTTTTTTTTTTTTTTCATTTAACATGCACTGCCTATGCAAATTTCTGGATTTTTGAGGTTACTGGAAACTAAAGATGCTGGAAACTGGCTTTGCCATTCTAAAAAACAATCAGATTGACACAGCAAAAATTGGCTCTACGCCAGCTCACATGATACATGATTCACCAAGTGATCCGCTTCCAACATTGGCACAAAAATCGCTTTTTTGGGGATCACAGTATGAAATTCCCTGACTTTTCTAGATTTTGAATAAAATATTTAAATTCAATTATTTTTCCCTGACTTTTTTTGGCAAATTTTCGAATTCCATGACTTTTTCCATTTTTCCAGGTTTTTAACGTAGCGTGGCAACCTTGCTGGTGGCCGTGTATCAACACATTGAAGAATACTTCAAATAGATCAAGATAGAATAAATTATAAGAAATGCTATTCAAAATAGTCTAGAAAACAATCAAAATTAAACTATTTCACTTTAAATGAATTACTTTCTCAGGTAGTAAAACTAAGTAAAAATAATTTGTGACAAAATCTGAGTTTTTTTGATAGACATTAGTAATATTTTTCAGTTAGTTAATTTAGTTTATTACTTTCTGTAGGGGCCCACCAGCGGCCTAACGGTAAAATCCCTGAACACTGGTAGTTCGGTCCGAGGTTTGAATCCTGCGAATGGGCTGGCTGCAAGGGCGTTTTCGTGGTTGTTTCCCAAGTATAACGTGTATACGACCCAGTTTTCCTTAGAAAGTCCTCCAACGAAGGCATCCCTCCCCTTAGGCAAATAGCTCTAGTGTGCTTTGCCGTAATTAAATAAACAAATATCTAAGACATCAAAAAATTATTAAAAACTCGTTTAGATATTTCAATACAAACAATACATCACCATATGTAAGCATTTTGTTTATGAAATCATAAATTAAATTGAATCAAATATTCCCACCTCCTCATTGATAGAGTTTTCTTGTTTTTCTTCTTCCATTAATTTTTGTTTTGCTGATAACAGTTTCGTTTCTGTTTCAGAAACATTTTTCTCAGATTCTTCTAAAAATCTAGGATAATGAAAATAGATGATAGCATCTTTTATTGTAAGCATAGTAGAATAAAGACAATAAATTTTATTTAATAAGGTTGGATGCATACAGGATAACATAACATTTCCTGTGATAGAGTTATTTAAAAAGATTTACAGAAAATTTAGAAATTTAAAAAAGAAAAAACCGTGTATAAAAACAAAGTTCCATTCAAATACCAAGGTCTTTAAATGAAACTTCAAATTTTTAAGAGCTAATTAATATCTTAAACCAGTTTTTTTTACAGCTATGCAAGATTTGATATGTCAGATCAAGAAAGCCTCATATTCTATGACTTGCGGCATTGTTACATTACAAAACAGGAAAAAGATAATTTTGCATCTCGGTATTCCTAGCTAAATTATATTAACTTTAATTTTTTTATACAACAATGATTTCTTAAAACCAGTTTTACATTTTAGCAACATGATTTATCTATCAATGTTATAACCACTTCAACTATACTAAGAAATTATTATTTTATACAATGATAGCAGTTTGAGGACTATTTTTAGTGCCTATTTCTATTTAACATACTTTTCTTGTTCTTTTATGGAAGTTATGACTTGTTCATAATCAGATTTCAAAATACTCAGTTTCTCCTTCTCCTTCTTTTCGGTACTTTGATATAGATCTAATTCAGACTGAGCCAAATCAACCTGTTAAAAAAAGTTTAATATAACTTTTTCTATATTAACATTAAAAAAATTATGACAAAAATTAAATTCAGGAAGCTATTAATTTTAGATCTTTTTCTAGTTAAGAGCAAGTTATTTTAAAAAAGCATACTTTGTAAAATTCATAGCAGTTCAGATTTCCAATTGTTACATACTAGTAAACTAATAATAAACACATAACTGTAAAATATGAATAAATTTCCAGGCAAGCATTTGCTAAATAATCATATACAGTCAAAAGTCTTTAATCCAGACGTCCATAATCCAGACATCCATAATCCGAACCTCAAAGCTACAAACTTCCTACGCATAATGCATTTACGCATGCGCATAATACCTTTACACACGCGTGTTAAATGTATAACGGATGGTATAAACTAAGCTAAATTTATCTATTTCAGTTAACGTTGCAGATTGCATTGTTCCTTAATCTTCGAACTGGATCCGGCTTATTATTTTTTGCAGACTGTTAGAGCAATTTCATAAAAGTAAGCTTGAACTTTTGATTATGTCAAAATGAATTTCCGATTCCGAGCTGCCAAAGGATCTACAAAGTGAAAGCATGTTTCGATGTCCAGTGTGTGTGTGTGGGGGGGGGGGGAGTCGCGGCGCGCAATGAACTGGAAGTTGATCTGTCAGCACTATCCTTATCTTCAGGGCAGATGTTTTTATTTTATTTGGCTTATAATTCCTAACTAAATGTAGTATTTCATCTTGATGTACTCCGTCATTGATATGATTAAAATCAAATTCCTCGTCATTATAAATATCACGAATACACATCAAATAGTTTTCTGGTTGCAATTTTCTAATTTCGACTATGCGTAATGTATGCTTTACGCAGGCGCTCGTTGAAAGAAATGTTTAATAAAGTAAACAAATAAATATTAAGTTTTTTTTTTTTGTAAATTTTGATACCCTTTAGATCATAATTGCTCTTTATTTCATAAATTACGGTTTCATATTTGTTCACTTCCACGCCTATCGAATTAATTTCTACCTTTTCGTTGTCCTGCGTTGGCAACAGGCTTTTGAGATTTGTAGTTCATAGAATTCGGTCGCTAAAAGCGTAGCTGACCTGTAACTGTTGTAATTATTATTTTATGCTTATCTGTACTGCTGAATTATCACTAAATGTTTACATGTTAATGTTTTGTTATTAAATGTATTCAGTTTGGTTTAAATAGACAAGAGTGACTGAATTTATTAAGTATGTTTAAAGTCAAAACTGCGTCATCCATGTCGGCGTCATTCTAATACGAGGAACGTAAACAATTTCTGGAGGCACCGACGAGATCAGATCGAGAATTCGTCAGCAGTTCAAGTACAGATAAGTGCTTTTATTTCGATTTACATCTGAATTTGATTCTTGAAGTTTTATATCTATTTTGTATTGATTTTGAACTTGAATACTTTGATTACTTATTATGGATCAAGCTACTGTCATTAGATTGCGTGGTAGGGCAAAATGAAGCCTTGTAACAAGGCTTCAGAATACTATTTCTTCCGATTTATCTAAAAATGAAATAATTTTGCATCTGGAGCGCTTGGAAAGGATTTTTTCAGATTTTGATAAATTTGATGCCCAATTACCAGAAGAACAGTCAGAAATTGAAGATTTTGAATCGAAGTATTTTGGTTTGAAACTTCAGTATCAAAATTTATTAGATGTATTAAATGTGGCTAATGTGCCAAATGTTTCAGGAAATTCTAATGTTAGTAACTTTAAGTTACCTAAGTTGAATATTCCTATTTTTTCGGGTAACTTTAATGACTGGATGAATTTTAAAGATTTGTTTGTTGCAACAGTGCATAATACTTCTTTATCAAATATACAGAAATTTCAGTATTTAATCGGATCACTTGCTGATGAACCAGCTTCTATAATTAAACATATTCCGTTATCAAATAATTCTTATGAAGAAGCATGGGCAAAATTGCTCGCTAGGTACGATAAAAAGAAGCAAATAGTACAATCGTCAATTAAAACATTTATGGATCAAAAATGTATTTCACAGGTTGATAATGTTAATTTACGGCAATTAGCTGATACTTCCGATGAAGTTATCAGTGGTTTAAAAGCTCTTGGTGACAAAGCAACTTCTAGGGATCCATGGTTAATATTTATGTTGCTTCAAAAGGTAGATTCAGAAACTCGAAAGTTATGGGCACAGAAAACAGTGGAAGACGATTTTCCTACATTGGAATCATTTTTTGAATTTTTAAATTTAAGGTGTTCTTCTCTCGAAATTATCATAAACAAAGAAGCGGAAGCTAAACTTTGATAAAAGTAGTAATGTTAGTTCTAAAACGTTACAGAATTCTAAATTTAGTAATACTAAATGTTCGAAATGTAACGGACTTCATGCCTTACATAAATGCGTTAAATTTAAGAATTTGGATGTTACTGCTAGAAAGAACTTTGTACGAAAACAAGGATTGTGTTTTTTATGTTTAAATTCACATCTAATCAAAAACTGTAATTTACAGTTAAAGAGTAATTTGTGTTATTCAAAAACGCATAATAGTTTGTTGCATGAGGATATTAAAGCTAGCAACGTACAGCTTTTAACAGCGCCAAATGAAAACGAAAGCACTCGAGAGAGAATTTCAAATGAATCATGTGAGGTAGTTGTCAGTAATACGATTCAAAATTGCAAATCGGCGATTTTGCCTACAGTTCTCGCACTCGCATTTTCATCCAGTGGCGAAACTATTGAAATTAAATTATTGCTGGATTCCGGAAGTGAAAGTTCATTTATTTCTGAATGAGCTGTTCAAAGATTAGGATTCAAAAGAACAAATCAAAGGTTACTTTTGCGTGGAATTGGCGGAGTGCCAGCTTCCAAAACTCGTGGTTCTGTTGATTTTAAAATTCAGTCAAAGTTAAAAAATGAAGTAATTGATGTTGACGCATACATTTTGGATAGGTTAACTTTGCCATTGCCAGAACAAGTGATTAATGTAAAGCATATAGAATACACTAAATCTATTCCGTTAGCGGATCCGAATTTTGCTCAACCCAAAGAAATTGATTTGATTTTAGGAGCTGATTATTTTTTCTCCGTTTTAAGATGTGGCCAAATATATGGTTCGAAAAATGAGCCTGTAGCTCAAAATACAATTTTCGGTTGGGTGATTGCTGGGAAGGTCGGAAATAATATGGAAGGCCCCAGAACAGCAAATGCACACTTCATAAAGCTAGAAGATAATATAAATATTAATTACGAACTTAAGCGTTTCTGGGAAATGGAGGATATTGTCGATGTTGGGAAAGAAGGAATTTCTGACACCTGAGGAACAATTTTGTGAATCACATTTTCAAAACACTCATTCTGTTAATTCAGATGGCGATTTGTTGTTGTAAAACTTCCATTTTATAAATCGCATTTGAAGTTGGGTGATTCAAAACCGGCAGCAATTTCTAGGTTGCGTTCCATGGAATGAAAATTCAAAGATAATCCGGAATTTGAAAAACAGTATAAAGATTTCATACATGAATATGAACAGTTAGGACATATGACTGTGATTAATGATGATTTATCTAACAGATCGGATATAGAAAAGTTTTATCTTCCTCATCATGTGGTCATTAAACCTTCCAGCACAACGACAAAATTAAGAGTAATTTTTGATGCATCCTGTAAATCTGAAAATGGTATATCATTGAATTCTCTTTTAGGGGTAGGTCCGAAATTACAAAGAGATATTTTTGAGATTTTGATTAATTTTCGATTTCCTAAAATTGTTTTCACAGCCGATGTGGAGAAGATGTATCGTCAGGTGATGGTAGCCCCTGAAGATCAGAATTATCAATTGATACTTTGGCGATACAATTCCAGTGATGAAATGCGTACGTACAAGTTGAAAACAGTTACGTACGGTCTTTCCTCTGCTTCATTTTTAGCAACTCGATGTCTGAAGCAGGTAGCTTTAGAGTCTAAAGAGGAATCAGATGTATCTCGTATATTGCAAGAGGATATGTATATGGACGACTTATTGTCGGGTGCAAATACAGTTGATGATGCAGTATCTGTCTGCAAGAAAATATCTTCAATTTTACATGCCCGTGGTTTTGATTTGAGGAAGTGGAATTCAAATTCTGTAGAATTCTTAACTGAATTTAAGGAACATTGTTTGTTGAATTCTGATTTAGAGATATCTCCTAATTCGAGTTCGAAAGTCTTAGGACTTTTTTGGAATTCAACTACTGATACCTTTAGTTTTAAAGCTACACTGCACATCAACGCACCTATAACAAAGAGACGCATATTAGCAGAATCTGCTCGCATTTTCAATCCTTTAGGTCTCTTATCTCCTTGCACTATATTGATTAAAATATTCTATCAAAAGTTATGGTTAGTTAAAGGCGACTGGGATTCAGTTGTTCCCCAGCTTATCTCAGATGATTGGTTTAAATTTCAAGAGACATTCAGTCAAATCAATAATTGTGAAATTCTGAGATGTGTCATACTTACAACGGACAGTGTTATCCAACTACATGGATTTTCTGATGCATCTTCGCAGGCCTATGCAGCAGCCATTTACTGTCGCCAAAAATGCAATGGTACGGTTAAGGTTAATTAATCTTTGGTATCAAAGACTAAAGTCGCGCCTATAAAGCAAGTATCCATTCCTTGATTAGAACTTAGTGCTGCATATTTGTTAACCAGATTAATGCGATCTCTATTGAATATTTTAAAGAAGTTTGATTTTGAAATCTTTGCGTTGACGGATTCCAAGGTAGTTCTGTCTTGGCTATCAGCTCATCCACGTAAGTGGAAAACTTTTGTGGCAAATAGAACATCTCAAATCATAGAAGTGATAACTATTAAACATTGGAATCATGTTCTGTCTAAACAGAATCCTGCAGACATTGCTTCTTGTGGTATTGAACCTCAACTCCTACCAAATTGTACTTTGTGGTGGAATGGTCCACCATGGTTGCGTCACGAAGAGGAAAAATGGCCTAAATATGAATTAAAATCTGAAGATGATACTGAAGTAAAAGCCAAACAAAGATCTGATCCTATTTTTATTTCTCATATATGTGAATCGAATGATTTATTAGCTAATTTGTTCGAGCATTATTCTTCGCATTGTAAAATTGTTCGTATTCTGCTTTACTGCCAAAGATTTATTACTAATTGCAAAAAGCATCATGCTACTCAGAACATTTCACGTAGTGGCATTAACTGCAGCTGCCTTATGCCGCTAACATTTCTAGAGATTCGAGTAGCAGAAAATTTCATTATTCGTTGAATTCAGAATCATTATTTCGAAGATGATTTAGCATGTATTAAAGAAGAGAAATCTTTACCCAAGAAGAGCCAACTACGTTCTTTGTAGCCATTCCTAGATAAAGATGGTCTCTTACGGGTGGAAGGACGTCTTCGAAATTCATCTTTAGCATTTAACATCAAACATCCTGTCATACTTCCTTCTCGACATAAATTTAGCGAATTACTAGTGAAAGAACTTCATATTACTTATCTGCATGCTGGTCCTTCTTTATTATCACACCTCATCAGGCAATCTTACTGGATAATTGGAGGAAAGAGATTGATACGCAGTTGTGTCAACCATTGCTTAATCTGTCATTGATTTAAAGCTGCTTCATATCCGCAATTGATGGGTGACTTACCTGAACATCGAGTGACTTTGGAACGACCTTTTTACGCATCTGGTGTGGATTGCGCTGGTCCTATTACCATGAAATTTAGTAAGGGTCGTGGTTCTAAAACAACGAAAGGCTATATAGCTCTGTTTGTTTGCTTGTCGACTAAAGCTGTGCATATAGAAGCAGTCAGTGACCTGACGGCAGACTCGTTTATCGCGGCACTTAGACATTTCATTTCACGTCGTGGTGCACCACGGCACATGTACAGTGACAACGGTACCAATTTTGTGGGAGCATGCCGAAAACTACAAGAACTAAATCAGATTTAGTCTTCCTTGTATGCAACGGAATCGGTTTCCCGAGAACTAACTAAGTCATCTATTGAATGGCATTTTATACCACCTGCTTCGCCCCACTTCGGAGGAATACAGGAAGCCGGCATTCGCTCAGCGAAATTTCATCTGAGAAGAGTATTGAAAGAGACTCTTTTAACTTACGAAGAGTTGTCAACAATACTTACCCAGATCAAGGCTATTTTGAATTCACGTCCACTTACTTACGTGAATGATACTGATATTGACTCTATTAATGTTTTAACCCTTCTCATTTTATTACAGGAGATACTTTGACTTCCTTTCCAGAGACACATCAGTCTGTTCGCACAAGGAGTTCTAGGTGGGAACTTTGTACAGATTCTACGTCTGGGATTCTGGAAGCGATGGAAAAGGGAATATTTGACTTCTCTTCAGCAGAGATCCAAGTGGCAGCACAACAGACCCAATCTAAAAGTCGACTTGGTGATTCTTGTCATCGAAGATGGATCTCCACCTCTAGCTTGGCCTATAGGACAGATCATCGATGTCCATCTGGGCAAGGACGGCTTAGTTTGCGTAGCTACAGTCAAAACTAAAACTGGCATATTTAAAAGACCAATTAATAAACTTTCACCTTTGCCTGTGTATCAGGACTAAACCTGATAGGGTGGGAGATGTTCACTTCTACGCCTATCGAATTAATTTCTACCTTTTCGTTGTCCTGTGTTGGCAACACGCTTTTGAGATTTGTCGTTCGTAGAATTCGGTCGCTAAAGCGTAGCTGACTTGTAACTGTTGTAATTATTATTTTATGCTTATCTGTACTGCTGAATTGTCCCTAAATGTTTTGCTATTAAATGTATTTAGTTTGGTTTAAATAGACGAGAGTGACTGAATTTATTAAGTATGTTTAAAGTCGAAACTGCGTCATCCATGTCGGTGTCATTCTAATACGAGGAACGTAAACAAGATTTTTAATTTTATAATTTCTGCATGCCATCTTAACCAGATTTAAATTGATGATCTATAATCCAGAATCGTCGAAGTCCCGACAAGTCCGGATTAAAGACTTTTGACTGTATATATATAAATCTAAATCATATTTCTTTTTAAGCACACAAAAAACTAGAGGTAACTTATAATGTAAAAGTTTTTAAATACAGACCTCTGATTTCTTTTCATTGACGATATTTTTCAGTTCTACTAATTCAGACTCAAAGTTGTCTTTTTCATCAACAAAACTTTGGATTTCGTTCTTCATTGACCCCATTATCTATAAAATATGAAACTTTTATATTTCTTGAATGCAATTCTTTTTTTCAGTAAATTACCTGATTTAAACACTTAAATATATAATAACATAAAACATATTTGAAAGATTACAAAAATTCTTGAACCAAAAGAACAAAATATAAATGACAGCCTATCAAGATTTATTATAGGAACATTTATCAGAAAAATGATGATTAAAGGATGTAAAGAACAAACTTTGCATCATCTATCTTGGATGTTTTTTTTAACTGGCTTTAATAATTTGGAATATGATGATGTTTCATTGCAGTTTGTTTTTAAGTGGATATATACATGGAAGGAATAATGATAAGTTAGAATACAGCGCCACCTGTAGTAGAGAAACCAGTGTCGTCCAAGTGAGATACTCTCCCTTGGACACTTGTTTCAGTTAAGGCTACAATAGGTAGTAGTACTGAATGTAGTAATGACTGCTAATAAAGTTATTAGTTTTCTTTTTATACAGTTCACTCCCTCATTTAGTTTAGAATTATAGAAGCATAGTACATTGGCTTTTAAGCCGGATTAGAGAACAAACTACTGGCACTGGATAGAACTAAAACAGCATTAAAAGCAAAACTAACTCAGTTAAAAAACATACTTAAGGAATATGATGGCAGCATAAACAAAAACAAAATGCAGTGCTTCAAAATATCCAGATAGAAATCAGAAACTTAAGAGATAGATATTCTGAAAGTGTTGACGAAAAAGATGTCAGAGCCATTGATGCAGAAATCATTGAAATGGAAGAAAGAATAGAAGTTTTGGAGGTAACAATTATGGAAATTCTATCTTTTATTTTACATTCTGAATTTGAAAGTGATTGTAGTAAATTTGATTCTAAAGTACAAATACCTCTGTCAGAATCATCCTAAATTCTCTGGTAAATATACCAAATGGAATAATCGTAAATTGCAAATCTAAAATATTATAGCGAAGCTGTAATATTTAAAGGCTGCATTAATTGATGAAGCAAAAAATCTTGAAATTGTTGATGATATTTTTCAAGTCTCTACTTAAAGCTCTGAAAGATAGGTATGAAAATAAAAGAATTCCAACTGAGACACATATAAAATCAATAATGGATTTACATAAAGGTAATGTTTTAAAGTATGAGAAAAATATAATTTATTGGATATTCTGTTGTTATATATTGTACTTCAGAAGCTAGACTATGAAAAGTGCAAACAATTTGAACTTAAGCATTAATGCTACAGAACCTCCTACATTTGATGAACTAATTTTGTTTTTTAGAGAAAAGGTGTCAATTTTATTAGATAACATTAACTGCAATACTAGTAAATTGAAATATCCATAACAAAAAAGTTCAAAATCAAAGGCGCTGATGGTTAAACACACACCGACTTGTTTCATATGTAAAAATAGTAATCATCCACTACATAAATGTGACTCATTCTCAAAATTAAATCCAAGTCAAAGCTATGAAATAGTTAAAAACAATAAATTGTGTTTAAACTGTCTTAGCAAGAAACATTTAATCGCAAAATATAATTCGAAGTTCAGAGATTCTGAATGCATAAAATACATCATTCATTAATTCGTCACCTACTCAGCAATGGCGCCATCAATCAACAGTTAGATAGAATAAATACTGAAACATCCAGTGAAGAGACTATAAACAAGAATGCATATTGTTCTCATAAAAATCAATCAAGTATAATTGTAATTCAGAAGGGAAAAAAATTCCAATTTGCGCCATTTTCGACAATGGCAGTATGTTCTGTTTCCTGACTGCCAGTCTGTTAAAATATAAAGACAGAATTTATGGATCTATACATGGAATAAAAAAGAACATTATGAATAATTATTATCAACTAGATGTACGAATTATGAATAAGGATTTGACATTTTGACATGTGAAGGTCAATTAGCTGTTTTATTATTTCTAAAATTACCAGTATAACCCCATCAAGGAGTTTAGATGTGTAGTCATTAAATATTATCACTGACATTCAGTTAGCTGATTCCTAATTTGCTAATTTCTATCCAATTAACTGATTAAAAAAAAAAAAAAACATGTTACTGGGAGCTGAATAGTGAAGAAGAGCTTGATAAAATTTTGCAAAGATTTTGGGAAATTGAATCCACTGAAAATATTATGGTTGTTTTGAGTGAAGAAGAAAAATTTCCGACAAACATTTCCAGCATATTCACTATCGACAAAATGACGGAAGATACGTATATTGTTCAATTACAAATTAGGGAAGGTGTGGAATTAAAAGAATGGAAAACATTTGCTAAGAAAAGAATTACATGAAGTGTGGAGTCGATTAGAAAGCAATTCGAGTATGAAAATCTTACATAAGAATTGTATCAGAGAATACAAGGATTTAAATCCCATGGAAGAAGTTCAAGAAACTGAATCCTTGACCTGCAGTTATCTCAATCATCATGGAGTTTAATACCGAGAGAAAACCTATACCAAGCTTCATGTGCATTTAATGCATCAGCTGCTACTACTAATAGAAAATCACTTAAGTCAGTAGTAATAAAAGGACAAATACCACAAGATTTACTTCGCATTACATTATATTTAAAAAATACAACTATGCACTAGGAGCTGATGTTCAGAAGATATGTAGACAACTATTTTTTTAAACTTCTATTAAAAAAAACTGCAACTGATTTTATGGAAAGAATTGTTTGGTAGCTGTGTGCTCATCTGAAAACCAACATATGGAACAGCAAGTGCAGCATTCCTTACAACAAGGATCCAAAAGCAGCTAGCAATGAATGAAGTGACTGAATTCCCTTTGTGCCTCAAGAGTGCTACAGAAGGATTGTTACATAGCTGACATTATCACCAGAGCTAATATGCTGCAAGAAGCCCAGAAGTTGCTGACACAGTTAACCTGTCTTCTAGAACATAGTGGAATGCAGTTACACAAATGATGTTCAAATAATACTAAACTATTAATAGAGAAAGTGCAACTCAGGACTTTTTTTTTTTTTTTTTTTTCAAGTTACTGATAAGCCTCAGGTTACAAAGGCCTTGGGAATGTCAGGGTGTACGGCTACAGATAGTTATTCTTGCGATTTAAAGATACCTGACAGAAACAAAAGGAGATGTCTTATCAGCAATAGGTCGCCTCTTTAATACATTAGGTTTAATTGGACTCGTTACATCAAAGGGTAAAATATTTCTACAAAAACTTTGGCTGTTAAAAATAAATTGGAACCCATCTCTTCCTAAAAGTGGCTTAGAAGAATGGAAAGCATTTCTGTATAATCTTAGAATAGTCAACAATTATAGCATCCCTAGATTTGTTCTAACCAATGAAATACAGCAAATAGAAATAATAGAATTCTGTGTTATTAGTCAGAAAGCCTATGGTTCTGCAGTTTATGTGAAATGTATGTCATCTTTGAACGAATGTGTATTTTGTGAATGTGTATGAAGACTTCTCTGCAGCAAGTCTCATGTTTCACCTCTGAAGTCAGTTACCATTCTTCGTTTGGAACTTTGTGGTGCAATTCTACTAGTAAAATGAATGAAAAGAATATTAGAGGTCATTTTTAACTACCCCTAGACAAAGTGTACTATTTCACTGATTTATCAATAGTGTTACCATGGATTAAGATGGAACATCATCAATTAAAGAATTGACATCTTGCTAACAGAGTGTCTGATATTCGCAGTACGATTGCTGTTCATGAGTGGTACTGTGTTAGCAACTATAATAATCCAGCTCTTTGATATCACATGGCATTAAATCTGAGAATCTTCTTTATAATGATTTATGGTGGTATGGAGCAGCCTTCTTGACTGAGCACAATGAAATAATTCCATATGATATGGAACACATAAAAAAACTCAGACTTAAGAACAATGACTTAGTTAATTTAAATGTCAACACTTATTCCCTTGTTGTAGATCATATTCTTAATGTTAGTAGTAACTATGTTCATATTATATGTGTGTTAAGTTTTGTTTGCAGACTTGTAAAGGACACAAGTCAATAGTTCCTCTAACTGTTAAAGAATTGGGTGACACTGAGAAAATCATCATAAGGTACATGCAATCACAACATTTTGGGAAGGATATTCTCTCTCTGAAAAATAAGAATTGTGTTTCTTCTAAAAGTAAGATAAAATTTTCATGTCCATTTATAGACAAGGATTCTCTTCGGAGAGTAGGAGGCAGACTTCCAATTAATCATCTTAATTACAATAAAAAATTTCCTTATGTAATGCCAAAGGATAAGGTATTTATTAGATTAATTTTTGATTATACCTAACTATTAAACTTACACCCCAATCTTGAGGAAGCTCTGGATGGCTGTATACAGGTCTCCCACCACTCTTTTCCTATCACCAACCTCTTCTGAGAACCTTCAACACTTTGTGTATTTTGAATGTCCCCTTGCTGCCACACACTATACACTTACAAACATCCATGCCTTCACTGGGATTTGAAGCCAGGCCCATCGGTACAGCAGTTAGTGTAACTAATCACTATACCAGGTTAAGATGATATACAGACATGGCAACATAGGGGCTATTCTTATTATTTAGTTCAGATAAAAGAATGCTAATCCCCAACAAGGCATGCAACACAACAGATGTGGCTCACTCTGTAGCAGATTTACTGATGGCCAATATTTTAGAATTTAGAGGAGCACCAATCAGAAGAATAAGGAACAATAAAATTTTTAGAATTTAGGACCAGCAGAGATTTTTCAAAGAATAGCTGTAACTCTTTTGTTGAAGTCAAACACTGCTTACTAGCAATAATAAAAAAAAAAAAAATACAAAAAATTTCAAGATCAAAACAGAGAAGAGAGACTGGGAAAACTGTCATTTTACATAGAAATTCAGTTATTTTTAAGAAACGGTCATGTGAGCTATGCTTATACCTAAACCTGCATTCCCATCTGAACTGCATTAACATTTATTGAAAACTGAAATGTTTAAAGTCCATGTACTGACATTTTGACATAAACAAATTTTAAAACTTTCATATTGTTGGAGTTTTAAATTAAAATGATCTATACTTTAATCCTTTTTAAACTGCTACTATATTTAACAACTGTGGAATATATATAAATATATAATTAAAATGCATTCCAATGGATTAAATGTCAAAATATTTTATACAAAGCACTTCAAAATTAGAAAATATATATCATAAAATTAGATTACTTCAGACAACTTTTCTTCTTCCACAGACTTCTGTTCTTCTGTTTTCTTCTTTTTAGCTTCTAGTTCTTCAATTTCCTTTCTAAGTATAGAAGGCTGCTGTTTCAAATTCACTACCTAAAAAATTATATATAGGCATATATAAGTACAGAAAAACAAAACCCAAGTTACAAAACAGAACTGATTTTTAAATATCCATAAATCTGCAGTAATATAAAGTAGTTAATGAAGATTTATGTTTGCTTATGTAAGTTTAAAAGAAGCATTTAATAATGTTAGTTCCCCTCATCCAGAACCAGTTGACAATACATTAAAATGTGAAATACATGTCGTTTACTCCAGTAAGTCATGTATTTTATTTTTATTCACATGTGTAACATTTCTTCTGCTATTTTTTCATGAATTGTCAATTGGCTGTGGATTAAGAAAATTCTTATAACTAAATACTTTAGGTTAACATAACCAAATTTAAATCTGTATATTAATTTTATATACCTGTATCTATCATATATTTCCATGAATAAACCAATAATTATTGGAACCTTGCTTAAAGTTAACTTACGAGTGTCGGACTATATATGGATTTACCAATCTCACAAAAAGCGCATGTACTTTTACGTCAGCTCTATTTATATACTGCTTCTTTCAACACTATTTATATAATACAGTACTGTTTTTTTTTCTTGTGATTATATTTCTTATGTTTATAAAGAAAATTATTTTTAAATGAAATGAATTTTTTAAAAATTATTTATATTGCTGGTTGGTTGCACTGCCAACACGAAAAATCTGATATTGGTGAAATTCGCACCCAGCTAACAGAAAAGTACTAAAAGGTATACTGGAAATAATAACAGAATACCATAAACAATTAGCACATAAAAATTACAAAGGAAAAGGAAAATTACTTTGAACTTTTAACTCACTTTTTGAGTGTTTTGAATGCAACCTTTATGCAAAAAGTCATATAAATCCTTCAAAGTCAGTGTCAGAATCCAAATTTCCAAAAACAGTACAAAGTCCAAAATGTGGACATCTGATATCCAGTGTCCTGATCCATACTTTTATTTTAGCCCTAAATAAAATATCTCCATATTGAAGAACAACTATTTATTAGCATATATCTGAATGATCAATAATTTACCTCTGTAACACCTTTTGTTAGGCATACATCTCAAATTGAAACTTTCTAGATCAAAACATGATGCTGATTTTACACCAACTGAATAACTTATCTCCCTAAGGGTAACATGTGAATCATTATTTATTATTTCTTGCTTCAATCACTACATGATTATCAACACACGACAGCTTGAGAAATGACTCATGTAGCAATATCTAAATAATTAAAAAAAAAAAAAAATATTAGTATCAGAATACGAAACAGCATGATAAACTGTTATATTGGTATTGCACTAGGCGATGATTAAAGACTTCAGCTACCTGCACTGCAACATGTGTGTTGATAAGAAAAATTTAACATAAATTTCTTTCCATGAGCAAAAAACAGATTCTGTAAACGATATTCAGAGACCAGATTTTGAGTCATCATTACAGACATCAGTATTAAATATATATGAGAATTTCTTTATACAGAATTCAGATAAGCCTACTTCTTGCATATGCAAGAAGTAGTAGAATATATCTACCTCTTGCATAATAAAAAAAATCAACTAATGTAATTCTCCTTCAGCAAGATAGAAGGAAAAGCAAACAACAGGTCCCTAGTTTCTACACTCATGATACATAGTCAACAATTTATACAGTCAAAAGTCGTTAATTCGGACACCCATAGTAACGCATGCGCGTAAGACCTTTACGGCTGCGAATATGCGTGTGTGCATGCGCATAATAAGTTTACGCATATTATGCACATGCGCACACGCATATTCAAAAAGTTATGTTTACGCACGCGTGTTTAATGTATAACGGACGGTATAAGATAAGCTAAAATTATCTAATTCAGTTAATGTTGCAGATTGCGTTGTTCCTTAACCTTCGAATTGGATCCGGCTTATTATTTTTTGCAGACTCTTAAAGCAATTTTATAAAAGTAAGCTTGAACTTTCGATTATGTCAAATAGAATTTCCGTTATATATTTACTAATATGTAAAGGATCTACAAAGCGAAAGTACGTTTCGAAGTCCATTAAACAAAAAGTGTAATTGCTGCAAAAAATGGATAAAGGCATATCCTTCGTCTCTGTAACCATTCTGAAATATGTTTATCAATTTGGCGCTGCTCTGCAGGGGGAGGGAAATGTCGCTGCGCGCAATGAATTAGAAGTTGATCTGTCAGCACTATCCTTATCTTCAGGGCAGATGTTCTTATTTTATTTGCCTTATAATTCCTTACTAAATGTAGTATTTCATCTCGATGTACTCCGTCTTTGATATGATTTAAATCAAATTCCTCGTCATTATAATTCGCTTCCGATAGTGAAGAAAGCGACACAGAGGTTATTGAAAACGAAAATTTCGATTGACAAAATAGTCGGTATTCTCGACACAGCAATTATAGGACTTGAACAGCGGAACTTTGTAACTGAAGAAAAAATTATGTCTGTTTATAGAATTAAAGAGAAAGTATTATCACATAAAATGAAGCAACTTAAACAACTTACATTGAAAGAAATGTTTAATAAAGTAAACAAATAAATATTAAGCTTTTTTTTTTTGTAAATTTTGATACCCTTTAGATCATAATTGTTCTTTATTTCATAAATTACGGTTTCATATTTTTAATTTTATAATTTCTGCATGCCATCTTACCAGATTTAAACTGATGATCTATAATCAGGAAAAATCGATAATCCGGAATTGTCGAAGTTTCGACGAGTCCGGATTAACGACTTTTGACTGTAGTGGATGTTGAGTAAGCTTTATGATGATAACCATGAATTTGAAGGCCTTCAGATATCACAAACAAAAGACGAAATTTTTCAATTAATGGAATTTGTTTTCAACTGACAATTTAGTGGGAATTCTTGACACGACGATTACAGAACTTGAACAATGGAACTTTACAACTGAACAAGACACTATACTTATCTATAGAATTAAAGAGAAGTATTAGCATAAAAACTGAAACAACTTAAGTAACTTACACTGAAAAAAAGGTTAATAGAGCAAACATATAATTATTGAGTTTTTATGTAAATTTTGATTTCATTAAAAGTCATAAATACTTCATTATTTCATAAACCACTATTTCATATTATTTTTAATTTTATAATTGCTACATATCATTTTACTAGCTTTCAAATGATGACCAGAAAAATCCGACATCAGGAAATGATGATGTCCTGACAAGGCCGGATCTCGGATTTTGACTGTAGTTCATAAAATTCACTTTCACTTATTAGGATGTCATTATTACTTTCAATACTTTCTGTACCAAAGTTTATGTCCTCTCCTTCATAAACAAAATTATCATCACTGCCATCAATATAATCACTGATGCAGAACTTTTCAAAAGCTCCAACTATCAATTTAGATGAAATCTATGGCCATGTGTGTTTTACCCATTGCACAATCATTACTAAATCTACTTTTTCTTAAGTACTTGACTTTTATAATGAACAATATAATTTGATGGCAAATCAAATGATATAGGAGTTTCTTTCACTGAGCCGATTTGACACAACTCAAAACCAGACTTTTTCATAATTTTATCACACATCATTGAAAAGCTTCAAGATTTGCTTCTAACTCTGAAAGGAATATTTGCACAAGCTTAGTGCAAGCTCTTGTGCATAAACTGTGACTGTTCATAAAACAAATGCACCACCCTGTTGAGGCAACGAAGTCCACTAGCTTGTTTTATGCCAATTAGGTTTGCTTTATCATGATCAGCACCCTGATTCAAATAACTGTACAGGCTATCATCAAACCATTCATTTACAATTTCTGAATACCTACATCAAGTTTTTCCTCTAAGGCATGAAAGGTTTTTTTTTTTTTTTTTTTTTTTTTAAATTATAGATAGTGTACAAAACCACAAATGAATGGAAATAATATGCTAGCTTAAGATAGGGGTACTAGAGATTAAATTATTGTCACTGCTAGCTGGTGCTTTACTCTACAGCAATTTGATTGGAAAATATTCAGTCTGTTTTACCTGCTTGGCAACATTTTTGCATTCATGGAAATATGTTTGAATGTTGAAAGAATTTTTTTCATTTCAATTTATATATGGGTTTTGAATTTTTGGTGAATTTTGAAGAAAACTGCACTCTATGTTTATATTCGAACACACATGGTTACTAACAGAATTGAAATGTCTCAAATGAACAATAAATATTTTTACTCATTAAAACTATCAGAAGCACTGAGAATGCAAAAAATATATAGTAAATTAATAAAAAGTTCCATTCAAGATTAATTTTACTATCACTCAGAAAAACTCAAAATTTTAATTTATAGAAGTTTGTTCATTGTTGTTTTGTTGTAGAAGGAAGCTATTATTTTTATAGAATATTAATTTTTTATCTTGACAAAGTGGAATTTTTTAATAGTAATGTTTTGTTCTTAAAACCTGAATTAGAGAATTCTTATAATATCATTTTCTATCTATTCAAATTAAGATATGTCATAAGTGAATTTCTATAGTACATTATCATAATATTTAATGAAAATAATTTTTATGAAAGTACATGAAATATATATAGAATACAGATATACAAAACTTCAGCAGCTTAACTTCTATGTTAGTACTCAAAGGCACAGAACAGAAACTAGCTAGATAGTAAAAAGAATTCTTGGAACTTCAAAAAATATACATATCATAGTTGTAAACAAAAGGATTTTCACAAACCTTAGCTTCTTCTGCATCCAGACTTTTTACCAACTTTTTAATTTTCTCTTTGGTATTTTTCAAATTTTCCCGACCTGCTACATCCTTACGTTCCAATTCACTAAATTGTTGCTTGAGGTTTTCAACAGCTTTAGCACACTTTTCATATTCACTAAAGCATATAATTTAACTAGTTATCTTTCTTTCACATAAAAGAAAATTAAGCAGAGTATTTCTTTAAACAATAAGATACAGGAATTTCCAAATTACCAGAATTAGAAACTTAAAAATAGGAAATAACTTTAAAATGTAAAAATAAAGTGAAGTATTTAAATAAAAAAAGGCAACAATTTTCAGGGTTATTAAGAATGATAATCTTAATTTCAAATATATTTTTATATACATCAAATGAACACGGAAACTCATCAAAAGGTTGTTGTAGCTTATGTTTGGGTATATTGGATAGATTTCAGTAGATCTGATGGTAGCTCTAAGGAGAATGATTATTACATCACAGTTGTAAAATCATTATTTCAGAGCAAGAAACATGAAAAAACAATGATGCCTTCACTGGGATCTGGACTTACTGACTGTCAAGATATGCTTTCAATTACAGTGAAAAGTATTCAAAAAAAAAAGCAAAAAAATTCCTTACATTGTCAGTCTAACTGGAAAGGAGAGAACCTAGTTCACAAATCCTGGTGGTGATGAATTATCATCCATTACTGCAGAATAATTTGGAATTTTCTGAAGCCAGGAAACCAAAGAAATTTGCAGTGCCCTTGCCAAGATTTAATACATCCAGACCTCCAAACTGCTAACTTGATTCCAATTATGCTATGAAATCATGTGCTAACGAGGAAGACGTTACTTTACAATGTGACATTATATTTCCACCAGGTTTGTAAATTAAAAAAATGGTGTTCATGCAATTTCTGCTCATAAACTGACATAATCACTAAAACTATGCTAAATTATTGCTGTGAAGACAATACTAAAAAACAAACTTGGACTCCTTTAAAAGTTATTCAATAACTCAAGTCGCTTAAAATACTTGTAAATAGAACTTCAATAATTTTCCCTTACTTTTGTTTGTTACTTTTCAGTTTCTATTTATGTTTCAAAAATGAAGTTATAAAACATGATCAGTCCTTTTGAAAAATCATGCACTTTTTTACTATGCATTTATATACTAATAAATTAGACTTATATAAGCATTTACTTTAACAAGACTTACATATTTACAATATAATTCTTACATATTTACAATATAATTCAAAAATGAAGTTATAAAACATGATCAGTCCTTTTGAAAAATCATGCACTTTTTTACTATGCATTTATATACTAATAAATTAGACTTATATAAGCATTTACTTTAACAAGACTTACATATTTACAATATAATTACTAAACTAAAAATTCAGTTGTACAAAAATGTGAGGAAATTTATTCCTGTTAAAGTGATTAATTAAGTGTGAATTCGTAATGGCAAGACTAGCTTTTTTAATGCATTAAAATGAAATAACTAACTTCATTTGCGAATTTAAACTGCAATAAACAAATGTGGAAATCACAGAAGGAAAATAAAAATTAATATAGATTTTTCTCTTTTAATTGAAAATGAAATTAAACTTAAATTAAAAATAAACATGAATAATATATATATATATATATATATATATATATATATATATTAATTTTTTTGGCTTTAAATTTGCTTTTTACTTTTATACCTGTTTGTTAAAATTTAAATTTAATTTGTTCAAATTTAAATTTCATTCCTTGCAGCAATGGTGCAAAGAATTATTTAATTAAATTCATTTTTTTCTTATGAAACAATATATATATATTATATATATAATAATTTATTTCCTAAACAGTATTGATTAATTGATATATTATCTCCTAAGTTTAATTAAAGTAGAATTATTTTAAAAGTGTGCATCCATACTGGTACTCCAGTCCCCGTTAAAACATTATTAACATTTTGCTTTCAAATTACTTCAAAACATCTTTCAAAATATAACTTACCAGTATGGATGCACACTTTTAAAATAATTCTACTTTAATTAAACTTAGGAGTTAATATAATCAATTAATCAATACTGTTTAGGAAATAAATTATTATTAACTAACTTTGCAGCAATTGCGCAAGTAATAATAACTTGTATTCGCACTAAATGGATTTAAGTTCATACAACATTAATTATATATATATATATTTATATCTTCATGTACATTCACTGTTCTTATTATACTTTTTTATATTATTTTTATATTATTTTTGATTTGTTTTTACAAAGTTTGCATTATTTATCTTATTTTGTAATCTTCTATGTTTATTTCAACTTTGAATTCTATTTCATAATGACAATTTCCAATGTTTAATTTTTACAAATAATATAGAACTCAAATGCATAAACATGAGCTTGTCAGGAACGGTTACTCGAGTTTTTTCGGATTTCTCTACAGAAATTGCTTTTTACTCCAAATTGAATTGGCTAAAATGCTTAATAAGAATAAGTTCTTTGAGTATCAGCATTGGTTCGTAATCCCTTCTATTCGCGGAAATATTTGGCCTGACTAGAATTGCCAGTTTGGTATTACCTTATAACTCGAGTAAAGACGAAACACCTTCGTATTTACGTATTTTGATTAATTATTGTTCATTAAACGGGAATTGGTTTGTTCCCCTTGAAAAGTCAACTAATTTCCGATCAATGACAATGATTACATGTTTTTAATTTAATTTTTCCTTTTACAATTGAAATTTTGTTCTTCATGATGATTTAATTCCAGTCCCCATTAAAATATTATTAACATTTTACATTCAAGTTACTTCAAAACATCTTTCAAAATATAACTTACCAGTATGGATTCACTCTTTTAAAATAATTCTACTTTAATTAAACTTAGGAGATAATATAATCAATTAATCAATATTGTTTAGGAAATAAATTATTATTAACTAACTTTGCAGCAATCGTGCAAGTAGTAGTAACTTGTTTTCGCACTAAATGAATTTAAGATTATACAATATATATATACATATATATATTTAAAAAAAATCATGTGTCAAAATAAAAAATAGCAAGCAAGGTTATACCTTACAATGCCTTTCATTTCAGCTTCCTTTTCCTCTTTTCCAATTTGCAGTTCATCATGTGATGCAGTAAGTTTCTTTATCTCTTCAGATAAAGCATTTTTATTCTCAGTAAGTTTTTCACTTTCTTCTGTGGCTATCATTCTGTTAGAAAATGAAAAATAAATAAATATATGCATACATCTGTATAAGCCTTGATAACGACATAAATTTAAATTCACAATTCTTGTATAGAAGAAAAAGGTTGCATGAAATTGACAGGCTAACAAGAAGGATTTTTAAACTAACCATATTTAACTTTGCCCCCAGGTTTTTTGCTCATCTTATTCTGAGTGCTGAGTGCATTTTCTACTGCAGACTTTTAAAAACACCAAAAGATTCTTATCTCTATTACTGGTCATCTTGTCTTAGGAAAATGGTGATAATCAATTATTTCCAGGGAATCACTTATAAGATTGCTTAGCGGAATCTCTGTTGTTTTTTTTTTTTAAACCAAATTCTGGTCAGGAAACAAGTGTATTTAATAAATTCTGTGCATTTTTCTATCTTAATGTAAGTTGCTATAATATCTCCTATATAAAGAAAATGAAACACTTTTCTTTGGAAAATTTGAGAAGGAAAATTTCAATCTGAAATTGTGAAAAAACACAATTTTTCCAGGAGAACTATCATATTTTTTTGCATAAAAATAAGGAATTTTATTTTGCCAGAAGACTTGACACATAAAGAATTTCAAGCTAGTAAATGAGGGCTAATGTGATTTTGCATGAAATGGAAACAAGAAATCCTCTTTCAAATAAAGCTTTTGAAATTAGGAAGGAAAATAAAAGATAAGATGATAGGCTATTAAGATTAAGACAAATTTACCTGCAGTGAAACTAGATTATTTTCTTGTACCCTTCCCTAAAAAGACTAAATTTTAAAGGTGAAGTGTGTAGTGGTGGAACACATAGTAAAGAAAGGGTGACTTTTGTGTTATATGCTTATAATGAATGGTAGAGAAAGTACAGGATCTAGTAATAGATGACAATGGCAAGGCAAAATAAAATAAAATACTCCAAATTCAATAAAATAAGGTGTTATGTATGTTCTGTGAGGTGAATTATTTCCAGTAGAATATTTAATGATCAAACAAGCAGACAAAAAGCTTCCTTTAAAGATGAGAATTCAACAATTTAATCTAATTTGACTTTGCCTAGACTATAACAGAAATTCAAACACACAACTTTCAAAGCATGCATCTAGCCTCAATCTACAATACTCCCAGCAAAAACAAACTTTTCTTTAATCAGCAAAGCAGCGAACCACAGGCCAAATTATGATGCTGATGTAAGTAATGTAGCATGAGAGGAGTTTCATGCAATTGGTAATGGTGTTGCAGTGTTTCGGATACTTAAATGGTGAGTATATTTTAGAGACAATGAAAAACCAGGAGAATAAAAACTAATGGTAACAAAAAGGCATCAGAAAATGAAATTCATATTCCAATAAAATCACGTTCTAAGGATATTTTAATAAAAGAAATAATACATGAGCATTTGCAAAAAGAAAAGAAATCTGAAGATGCCATTTCAAAATCAAACAACATATAATATTCTTAAGAAAATTAATAAATAAAACAAGGGAGGAGACACTTTTAAGTAAAGTAATAATAAATTTCATCATGTTTCAAAGATAACATTTCAGTGATGTTACATGTGGAAGACTTGAAAGAAGGTCTTATAATCAACAAAGTAGAAAATAAGTTTGAAATCATCAAACAACAGTACAGTAAGCCCATATTTCTTTCTTCGATGACAACTCATTCAGTTTCAGTTGGATAGCAGATGTTAGTTCAAATAGCATCAAAGGGCAGAAAACCCTCATCAACACCACTAAAGGGGGGGGGGAAATCACGATTCATGATGAAAACATTCGTATAAACTGGGAGCTCAAATTTTACTTTTAGAACAGTTTTTTTCTACACATTAATGATATACAGTATATATAGTTTCATAATTACTACAATATGGTATGTATGCCGTTGTAGAAAGCACTACAATACTACATTAATTACTGTACTGTTACTTGAAAAATGCCCTCACAGATGAATTTTTGGTGAAAAATGCCTGTATATTGTGCTGTTGCAGATGGCAACAAAAGTGCCTGGTCACTTTATGGCTGACTGTATTCATGCTTTCTGTAAAAATTTGGTCAATTCGGATGTTGGAGCAAACTGTTCCTTAAGTATCCAAGGAATGTAATATTCCTGGCAGGTGGGTGGAATGCTACTGTCCTTGTCACTTTCTTCTGATGACATTTCTTGCACCTCAGATACAACTGCTTGTACATTAGGTTCCAATGTAGCACACGTGGCAACATATCATCTGTAGTAAGAATTGTCACCATCTAACTCGTCAACAAGATTAGTGCATTTATATTTCCAGGCTCTGATAAAATAGTTATGTATGTGCTGTGATGACACAAATTTTCAGGGTGCAGTGATAGCTTTTATTGAGTCTCCATCTCCTTTTTAGCAGTGTGAATTGTAGTTCTCACAACTTGCTTGTGATAAAGACCTCTTCACAACTGAAATAATGCCTTAATCTTAAGTTAGAAGATGTCTTTTTGTGCCTTTGGCAGGAGAAAATGAATCTTTGCATTAGTTAACTTCATATCATGTATGTTATGGGCTGCACACCTCTTCCATGTCATAAAAACATACCTATTTTGAATCATTATTCAACTATTAAAATGAAGAAGCCACTTACAAAATGATAAGCTATTGACTCAAACTTTCTTATGGTGAGAACAGATGGAAGGCAAAGCAATAATTAAAAAAAAAAAAAAAAAAAAAGAAGAGAGAGAGAGAGAGAGGTTTCTCAGATTTACCAATCATCTATGGATGGCGTTTACCATTACCATTCGTATTACACACTAGGACAACAGTTAAACATCGTTTACTGCATGCTCCACCACGGCACTTGCCAACTTTTATTCCAAGGGTACAACTTAGGAAAACATAGTAAGAAAAAATCCAGTTCCCTCCATACTGTAGACATCACACTAGGCATACTTTTCTCTCATTTGGTCATACTTATGCACCCAGTGTTTTGCTCCTTCTTCATAATCTTTATTTGTTTTATACGTAAATTCATACGTAATTAAACTACAGTCCAGTAAATCTATGTAAATATTTTATTGTAAAAGCAATTCATTTAAATTTTAACCAGCCTTATTCCTTTGATGTGCTGCATTCTACTCATTTTCAGGACGAACAGAAGAAAATAACTTCCTATACAAACCACTGGAACAAGAAGACCAAGTAATTTTACCTAATTAATTCAGAATTTTTCGAAATTTAAATTAGGCCTACCAGTTAACTTTTAAAGAATAAAAAAGCACATTTGAATACAGAATTGCATTTGTTGGTTGAAGCTCATTCTTAATCCAATTAAATCTTATGTTGATGAGATAACTGCAATTAGCGAGCAATATTCCTCTTGCTGGCTATGTTTTAAAGAATACAATGTATTCTGCGATGGTTTCAATTAAATATTACAGAACATTAGTGCAGCCCTAGCAGAGAAACAGGAAAAAATATGAAAAACTCTGAAAATTTGTGTTACATTTTTAAAAAAAAATCTAATAATGCAACGGGCTAAAAAAAATTCGTAATTTACAATAACTGAAATTTGCATTAATAGATAAAACTTTCTATAAGTTCATCTACATCACTGTTACAGCCCAAATTATTTTTTATGTTAACCGAGTGCTCGCTTTAAGCTATTCTGTGTTAAGGAGGGTTTAATCTATATATAGTTAAACTCCACTATAACGAACGTCAGAGGACTGGAAATTTTGTTCAATATATCCAATCTGATAAGAAAATGGAAAATCTCACAAGAACGTGTAAAATTTGAATGATACATAAAGAAAAAACAAATTGATCACTGTTACATCTACCAGAAGAAATGAATAATGAATCTAATTAAAAAAACATGTTAAGATTGAACTGCAATTATTATTATGCACTATTATTAAATTTTTTGTTTGGTTCTTTTCCAGTTTTTTCAAAGTTCTGGCAAATTTACTGGCTGTTGTTGTAAGCACTTTTCCAGATACTGTCAGATTAGACCGAGTGGTGAACCATTTCAGCAATGCTTCTTTAATATCTCCAAGTTCCACCTTTCTCAACTTTTTCCTCATATCCAAATTTCTTCCTTGAGCAGAAATTCTAAAGCTTTGATGTTTTTCATATAGTACCAACTGTAGATTTGAATAAATTGTGTTTCTGCCAGATATCAATCCACATCCAGTTTATGTTTTTCAAATAATGTTCACATTATCTTCAATGTAGATGCTATATCAAAGCTTGCCATCTGGATGAATTTTTCACACAGTACCAGAGACTGGAGAGAACAACAAATTTGGTCAAAGAACACTTGAGAGTTTTGTTCTATAAAATATAAAAAAGTAAGATAATTTCATCACCAGCATATCTTATCCAATATTCAGTGAGAACACAATTATATCTTCTAAGGTACATATGCTTGCAACACAAAGCTTCAGTAGCCTTTATGAAGAATATCTTATGTCTTGCAAAAAGAGCTAAAAGAATGCAGAACTCCTATCTAGAGGATAAAACTTGGAAGGCATTTATACTTGGGGGGGGGTAACTAATAAAGATAAACGATTTTCTCTCCCTAAAAGAAGAATTAACTATAATGCCACGAGTTTCATGCCTTTCCCTGAACAACAAAAATTTCAAAGTTTCCATCACAGCTTCAGCCTTCAATAGAGTTCTGTCCGGCAACTCAATCAAAGAATTTTAATAGAATCAGAGACAGCGAACATATTCGTGTTTCGTGGTTTAGTTGTCATAAGCACAATATGGTGTTCCAAGATATGCTTATCCTATTCTTATTCCTCCTTAATTAACTAAACGAACATGAATGGAGGGGGAAGGGTGAGTTCCTACACCTATCTTGCATAGTGTTTGTTTCGAAAAGTGGAGGCTAAAGAAAATAATGTAAAGGTGTTTTCCATTATGGATGGAATATGGATTTTAATATTCTAAACATGGATGAATTTAACAGTTAATATTCTTTTATGTTAAAACATACAGAAATTCTGGAGAAAATATTATTGCAGGCATATGGTTTTGTATTAGACTGAATGCACACAGGTCCGATGATAGGTTAACAAAATTTATTTTATAAAAAGAAACATTGCAAAGTTCTGGAATTTTCCATAGAAATACTCATGCAAGTTGTTCTCAGTATCACAGAGTACAATCAACAGTTACACTTCAAACTACTAAGAATGCTAAACTCAAGACAACGCAAAGTGCCTTTAAAGAGAAAGCTAACCCAGAGATATCTCAGTACTCCGATCTCACACTGAACTAACAACTCGTAACAATAACAAACTCTGAGAGCAGATGCTCTCTCCGCCCTTATATAGCTTTCACCCAATCAGCAAGATATTTCTAGTACTTCCTGCTTCTCAAAGCTACTGGAAAGCAATAGGAGTGTCGAATAACAGTTGCAGCTAATATTTCTTTTGTCTGTTACATTGTCGACGCTCAGTTGTAAGGTAAGTAACACTGGTATTGGTGATGCATCACTTTTTTATTCACAGCACAAACAACAGATACAAAACTTAATTAATACATTTAGAAAACTGTTACGAGATGTCTGAGGATGGTGACATGATCAGAGACATTAAACAAGATGGCATTCATCATCAATCGACGAATCAAAAGTCTCCAGACCTTAGCTCGCTGGTGGAGCTTCCCAACTCTCCAATTCGTGTCCGACAAGAAGCCTCATCTCTTTTTGCATGCGCATTACTCAATTATGACATTGCCATCAGAGTTCTTTATAGACTGACTCCTTCCGCCTCCAGATTTTGTTTTCCTCAGATACAGGAAAAAAAACTTTTTTAAGTTCCTACAGGATAAAATAAAAGTTCAGGCAGGCATTCGCTACAAATACCTTCCGCCTCCAGTTTACATTTATTAAATTTAATATCTATTGACAGACAGAGACCGGACCAAAATGTCATCAAAACCACTGCCAGCTTATTCCTGTATTCTTACTTTTCCAGCAAAGCTATTTTCTACATTTTTTTCAATTTACATTACACAGAAAAATAAATTTCATATGTAACTGCACTAAAATTATCTATCTATAAACAAAATTCATAACAATATGCGATATACAAAACAGTTTTCAATCGAAGATTTCCATACAGATTGTTAGATCCAATTTTCATATTTTTGGGGGCTTGCTATAACATTAAATGCATAGGACACTAGGACAGGGCTGAAAGGTTTGTTCATTATATCCAAAGCTTTCTTTACAGCAGAATTTGACTGCAGTTTAATAAGGTGACACTAGTGTCAGCCTTTGAAGTGGCATCATGTTATTGAGTCACAGATGCTGGCCCCAGGATGGGCAACTGTTATACTAAATAGGTTACTGAGTTCCATGGTTATCTGTTCCATGACGTCACAGAAGAAGCATATGACTTACAACAGAGGTTGTTGATTAATTTCTTCATTAAATAATGAAATATAAATAGTTTACCACGTTGCCTTCATTTTTCTTATTTTTTCATCTTTTTGCCACATGCAAGGAATGTCATTTATTCTTAAAGTTCATATATGTAGGTTCATATATATGTATTTATGTTTTTTATTACAGTAAATAAAAAATAAGAGTAAAATTATACTTGCTTAACTAAAGGGGAAAATTCATAAAATTACTCACGATTTATTTATGTACTATATGGTTTTATCAGTAACATTTCTAGCAAATAAATTTCCTTAAAAATTATAACTGGTAAGTAAAAAGAATGATAGAAAAATTTAACAAATAAAATTCCTCTGAAATATACATTATCAGAAAGTATTTAGCACATTCATTTGAAAAGAAAAGGTACTTCTTGATTATCTACACCCCCCTTCCAAGAAAGTTATCAACATTTTGGTGACTAATTTTTTGGCACGATATTATGCAAAAAGCGTGGTGACCACCAGTCTCAAAATGGCAGCAAACTAAGAATTATATAAAAGAGCAATCAATCAGTAAAAATTAAAAATCATAAAACAGCCACAATAAAATACTTTAACATTTCAAGAAATTCTTACATAATTTTTTCTATTGTTCTTCCTACATACACCTTGACCTATTTGCACTTAAAAAAAATCAGAGAGCTGTACAACTTTGGTATTGTGCATGCTATGCTATTATCCTTCTCATGCACATAGTTTCACAAAAGTCTGTTTCTGTTTGTCTGATCACATACACAAAAAAGGGAGAATTATAAAAATTTGACAGTACACATATTCTTCCTATGTACATAGTAGAATGTTTTCACTTGGGGCGGGGAAAGAAGATACTTTCTGAAGAAGTACAATGCTTTCTTTTTTATCAGCCAGTGAACTGCCCTTATAATTCCTTACTAGAAAAAAAAATGTATATATATATACTCAGTGCAAAAACAAACACTAATCAGAAAAATGACTGTTGAATTTGGAAGGTGAAAATCCGCATTTTGGTATACATTTTGACTATGTCATAGGTTGAATATTTTGGCAATATAATGGTTGCCTCATGAATACTTTTCAGGGTAGGGGAAAAATCAGAAAGAACCAAAGAAAATACACATACATGGAGGAGAAAAGGGTTTATTATGATTATACAATAAAAAGGCAATTTTCTTCAAAAGAAGCTCTAACAAGAAATGAATGAAGCATCACTGAATTTATAGAATGTAAATATAAAAACAAAACTTGTAATGAATTTCCAACCCACACGTTGCTGCTTTTACTCACTTGTCTGACGTAATGAGCCCAAACCCATGAAATTCCTCGTGGCAAGGAGCGCTAGAATATGTCTGTCATTGAAAACAAGCTCGAGCACCATTCAGGTAACAGTGTGATTTAGCTCAGTTTCACCCCCAGTTTTGATGAAGAGCCCGCAAGGTGGTCGAGGGTCTCCCACCATTCTCAATTTCCACCAAACCACACAAGACGACTTTTGGCTCGCCACATATTTAGAGTGCCGTCATGCCGCACCGACATTATACATTTACAAACATCTATGTCCTCTATGGGATTCGAACACGGACCCTTCACAGCACGGCAGTCAGCAACCAACCCATATAATCACATTATATAAATTACTTACATTTCTGCTTGAAGAGCAGAATTCTCCATCAGTGCTACTTTATTTGCCAGTTTTATATATTCCATAGCTTTGTTTCGGGGTTTCTCTGCTTCTGCTCTCTCTTTCTCAATTACTTTCAGCTGATTCAACTGAAATAATAAGTATAAAATGTAATTAATAAACATATCAAAAGTGGAATCAGCAAAGCAAGCATGTCTATAAAGATCATTAAAATTTAAATTTTCAATACATTTCCCACATTAACATTTTTGCATAATCATTCCTGCTAAAATAATAATAAATTTTACAGACAAGTAAAGCAAGTAGCAGTTTGATTACATGTTTTTATATTTTTTGAGTTCTTATACCTAAATGAGATTAAAAACACGAAAGCAGCTTAGATCATAATTTTTTTTTAAAAGAAAATACAAAAATAATTTATTATCATTGAAAATTTAAAAATAAATTCAAATATACTTGTATACTAATGAAATAATCAATAATTACCTTTTCAAGTCTTATTTCATTCGTTTCTTCAACTTTAGAATTCATACTTTGAATAGGTTTAATAAAACGATTAGATCCAATGATATCCTCTATATATTCAAGCATTCCTGTATCTTGTTCGCTTAAACCTTTTGGTTTCATCATTGAGATCAATTCAATTTCTCCCTAAAAATGAATTTTAAAATTTGGAAAACTTAGTAAAATCCTAAACTACTTTTACATTTTGATTAACATTTTTAGGCATTTTTCTGTCAATGGGGAAATAATTATTAGTGCTTTCATTAATAAATGCTGACACAGAGGTAGCAATACTAATACAACATAAAACTTCTTGAGAAGAATGACTGTTTTATTAAATCTAGAATAAATTAAAAAAATTAAGACAAAATATATTTTACCAGATTACACATGAGGCATAAACTGCCAATTTAATTTAACATTAGCAAATGGTGGCAGTCAGTCGAGATCAGGGGTTTCCAACCCCTATGCCCGTGAGCACCATGGTGCCTGCCACTGTGCGATCAAAATAAAAAAGTTTTAGTTTTCAATAAAATTCCATGCAAAAATTTTCTCATTTTTAATGAAATAGAAATTACATCCAACCCAGATACCAGCACAAAGCGAAATGCGACCAATTTTTTTTTTTATGTGCATGTATTATTAAGTATATACAACGATAAATTCACCTTGAAAAAGTCAACGGTGCCTGCTGTAACAATTTTTATGAATTTTGTTAATTTTTATGAATTTTGTTGTTTTATAGACTGAACATATCATGTAGCTCTTGTAATCAAAGTATGTTAAGATTTAATAAATCAAGAAAGGGAAAAGGAAAGAAATTTGAGGAGAAAGAATGAAGAAGACTGAGAATGTATTGTATGATCCATCAGATTCCAATCTAGCAAACAGTGATTTTATTATAAGTTTTATTATCTCCTGCCAACCTATATATATAAGCAAGGCAATGATATATATAGGCAAGTCAACCTATATATATATAGAGCCAAGGTAATGATTTCAGTCCAAAAATTCGATACTGAGTTTTCAGTGAATAAACACAAATTAGGGTTTCTACAACTCATTTTTACTTTTTTTATGATATCCGCCTGTGTACCGGTATGTGTGCGACAATTTTTTCGTCTACAATAATAAATAAAGCAGGCAACTCATTGCAGCACACCAGACAGCAATATTGCCAGATCATGCAATTTTTCGTAAATTTTCTACTTTTGAGAAATCTGTGCTACTAAAATTTTAGTGTTTGCAATTTTGCAACTCCATCATTTTCTTGTGCTACCTTTTGCGACTTTAAAAGATTTTTTCCAGTATACTTTAAAATGATTGCATGTTAAAATATTGTATCTATTAAAAGTAATTTATAAAAATAAACAAATAATATAAAACTTCTTTTAAAATTTTTTTATTTAGGCTTAAATAGAAGCTGGCATTCCTGAGATCATAAGTGAAAAAAGTTTTCAGCCCTAGTTACTGCTGCTTTCATGTGTTTGACTGACTGCTTTGTTTAATATTTAGGCAATCTGTATATAGGTGTGAAACATTTACGTTTGAGCACAGCTACAGTGTTAATTAAAGTGTGAACTGTGAGTGATGTGAAAAAATTTAACATCACCTTTCCAAATGCTTGGCTTAAAATACTTATGTTTGAGAACTGGCTTGAAAGAACAAAACTAAAGCTAACTAGACTAAAGCTTTTTGCAGTTATCTAAATGTGAACTGAAGGCACACAAAGATTTAATGAAGCATGGTCATTCTTTAAAGCATAAGCAAAACTCTCAACAAATCCTTCCCCCAAGTAGTATTAAAACTGCTTTTGAAAAGTGGACAGTATAAATGAGGTCAAATTGAAACTGTATTTATTGTCTGCCATACGTCCATATGGTCTACTGATTATTTGAGTGTAATTTTCAATAAATAAATACCACCAAATTCGTCATCTGAGACCTTACACAGGACAAAATCTATAGCATTGATAAAATATTTTCATCTGATTTGCTCAAAGAAGGAGCAATTAATAAATCCTCATTTTCTCTTATAACGGAAAAGTCAACAGATGTTTCATGTTGCAAGCATTTATGATTATATATTCATTACTTTAACAAAAAATAAAATAAAATAGAAACAAAATTTTTAGGGCTTGTTGAAGTTGTAGGGCCTGCTGCTAATGTATTGTATTTGCATGTGAGATTTTCCCCAGAATACTGGCATGAATTTAAGAAATTGAATTTGTTTTGCTCTTGGGACTGATGCAGCATATAATCTATGTGAAGTAAAACATTCACTTTTTACATCAATGAAGGAAGATATGTCTAACTTGATATTAATTAAATGCATTTGTCACTCTCTGCACTTGGTTAGTTCACATGCATTCGAAGAATTACCATCTAATCTAGATTAGAGAAACATATAATTGGTTTCAACAGTCGCTGTAAGAAAGGAATTTTATATAGATTTATGTATGAAAACAAATTATGAAAAGGATCCACTGCAGTTGATTCCTCTCTCTGCAACCAGATGGCTAGTAAGGAGCGAGTGCATCAATAGAGTTCTTAATCAGTGGGAGTCTTTAAAACTTCTTTTCCGGGTTGTTTCATCAACATGTGATAAACATCCAGCTAGAGAACTCCACAAAATGTATACAGATACAACAAATGAGCAGTACTTGACATTTGTAGATTTCATTTTATCAGACTTTGAAAGAGTCAATTTACTTTTTCAAAGTGACCATGCTGATCACTGTAAATTCAGAGAACTTTAAGACTTGACTTCCTCACAGACGATTTTACAATTTCTGTGCTCAGAAGTATAATTTACTCTGAACATACAAATCTTACAGTTGACAGACCTGTGCGTCTATTTATTTATCAACAAAAAATTTTGTCTTTGATTCTTCTTTTTTTTTTTTTAATCTCATACAGCAAGTAAAGCTAATGAAATTTCAACAGTATCTCAAAATATTATTTATGAAAGATGTCATGAATTTTTTAAAAGTGCATGCACAAGAACTTCTTAAATGTGTTTCTCCCAAATGACAGAGCATTAAAAATAATTGAGAGCTTTTCATCCAGTAGGTACTTCACTGAACTCGCCCTCTGTTTTCTGATCTTCCCATAGAGCTTGGAAATGAATCTATATTAGATATAACTGAAAGTTAGTAGAGACAATACTCAGCATTGTCTGGAATGATATTTTTCCTTTTGGGATTCCAAATAGTGATTCATTATTTTGGAGCCAAGAGCCAAGCTTTTACAATTAAACATGCTCTTGGCAATCCTGTTTCAAAGAAATAGTTGCATTTGCTTTAGTATTTTACAGTTTACCAATAAGTAATGCAATTGTAGAAATGGTATTTTCAAAATCTGCTGTGTTGACTTTGTATTCTTACCAACCCATGCTAACATGTACCTCAGATATTAAACAAAAAGAAAGAAATGAGGATAACAGATCAAGAAAATGAACAGGATGATGAAGTGCTAATGAATTCAATTTTCTTATAACTGTAAAATGACAAATGCATATTTTTATATGAATTTTTCCTTCTGATCACTAGTACATTAATCGGGTATGTTATGATAATATGTTCTGTAATATGTATATCTATTTCAGTTCAAGCTCCAGTTGATTTATTTAAAAATGAAGAAATTTTTTATTAGAATTAATTATACAGATTGAAAAAAGTGGAATCATTCAAAATGAAAAATATATTTTTCTATGACACTAGATAAGATATCTTCACAGTACAGCTAATGATTACAGTAAATCCTTTTGAAGCAGTCACTTCTGAAAATGGCCTGTATTTATAAGAACATAATTAACATTAGCTCTATAAAGCAATTATCTTCCCAGAAAATCAAAATTTTCTGGAATCATGAGTGGTTGTCTTAGAGAGTATTTACTGCACTTGTTCTAAAATATACTTCATTTCAAATGCTATTAGTTTTAAAATGAAATATTTTTATAACTGATATATGCTATTTAAGCAAAACAAAGTTAAAATTTAAAAATAAGGCATGAATGTCTGTTTATATTCGGAATAACTATCTAATTGGTCGCTAAAGGAATTCCTCAACTGCTTCTTGTTCAGTATCCTGTCATGCTATGCAGCCTTGTCTGGCTGTGAGAGGGGACCATACTCCATATTAGATTCATTTTCAATTTGATACCACAACATAGATTTTGGACATCTCTACACTGTAAGCTTTACTGAACATTATATGTACATAAAATGCATTTTGAATGGTACATCTCTTTTACTGTTATAAATGTATATCTATACCAAATATCATTAAAAATCCATCCATTAGTTTTTCAAAAATTCAAAATAATGCGCAAATTCTCTTAATTTTTTCCACAAGTGTATTACAAGGTAATATTCAAAAGGTGTGCAATTGAGAACAACATATTACATTTATAAGCATTAAATATATTCTTGGAAATGTGCCAAATGCAATGAGAATAAACTCATTATGAAGATAAGCTCTCATTATAAAGCAATTAAATGCATTCACTTCAATCCTCAAACTTTTACCCGTTTCACTCTTGTGTCAAATTATTTTTCAAATAAAAGGATGTTAAAACCAAATGTTATGGCTCTATATTATTTTGGAAGGCACAGCTTTAGTATAATCCCACCTAGAATTTTAAGCAAAAAATATCACCAAGAATGGCAATAAATGATATGATATGGTAACCCATACTATTCGCCAAACGCAATGTAAACAGCTGTAAATTTCTGATTTCTAAAGAGGATGGAATTATGGTTACAGCTAACATAGTAGTCAATTACATTTATTCAATTTCAATATAAATTACTGAGATATCCATTTACTCAAAGTTAAATGCCCGTGCCCTGTACTATTACTTTTCCGGCATAGATTTCTCTTAAAATTCGTCTCACACTGCATTGCACGGGGAAATACAACATTTTAAATTAGAATTCTACTAAAATTAATATCTAAAAACACAATTCGTAACACTGTTATCAGCGATTATTTAATGCTCAGATAAAATGGAGAATACTGTTTTGGATATATTTTTTGGCTACTTTGGAAGTGAGATTTTTGCATTTAGTTATGGCTTGCTCTAAACCTGCTGTTAGTGATGCTGTAATTAAATATCAGGAGATTTTAAAGGAAAATTTAAGGTGG